ATATATTTATCAGTCTACAGCTACCACTGGGCCATGTGAATGGCTGGCCAGGGCATGCACATGTGTGCATGCACTCCCCCCCACTTGTGCTAGCACTGCCCTGAGTGTTGCACGAGCGCTAGCCTTGCTCCCAGTGTTACATGAGTGTTGGCACAGGTGCTAGCCTTGCCCCCAGCATCGCATGAGCACTTGCCACCCCAATTTGTGTTGTGTGCATGCACGCAGCCCCATGCCTACGCCTTCCTTTTCCTCCAGGCCACCAACCTAGAAAGGCTGGTGACCTCTGGTCTACAGCACTCACAGAAAAAGTGAAAAAAAAAATGAAGCCCGGTCTGAGACCCAGGAATGAGAGAACTGAAATATAAAAAGTTGTGCTGCTTGTTAACCTGGAACTGTAGTAATAGCATTATTAAAACATATAATTGAGTACCTAGAATTGTAGTAATAGCATTATTAAAACATATAATTGAGTACCTGGAATTGTAGTAATAGTATTATTAAAATACATAATTGAGTACCTGTGGCATATTTTGGTTGATAACATTCATTAGACATTGATATAGATAAGTACTTGTTTATCAACTTTTAATTGAAAATTGCTATTTGCCAGTAAGAAACAGATACAGACTCACAACTAGATTGTGACAGACACAAATGCCAAATTTGTGAACATATCTTATCTGGAATATATTTCATGTCCTTCTGTTTCATTCACAACTCCTTAACTCATATGTTCATCTTCCAGTGCGGTATATGCCATCATCTCTATTTGAAATAAAAAGGGAGGGAGGCAATAGGTAGATGGACACAATCAGAAATGTGTTGTTCCATTCCTTTCTTTTGGGGTTACAAAGTAATATTGAAAGACTTCTGCTTGATTACTTGGGGAAGTAGACTATCCCACAAGATTCTGTTTTGTTACCCTCAATATTGATATCAACATGAAGGTATTGCAAAGGATAATTTCCAGGCTGGGACTAGTTCCATTAATATGCTAATGATACTTAGCTATATTTATTCTTTCTGAGAATTCAGGTAGATGCTACTTGAGCTTGCATGAATATGAAGGACTGTAAAAAAATAAGGTGTAGCTATGTTTAGAGAGAAGACTACACTTTCATCGATTCCAGGGGCTGAGTGTCAGGATGTGTGAGATGCACCTCTTCTGAATGGGACTACATCCCTGAGGAACGTCTCTGTAGTCTGTGGATTCTCCAGCTCAACAACCATATAATTTCAGTGAAGGAGATAGTCATTTATTAGATTCAGTTGATAACAGCAATGTGTCCCATCTGAGAGGAAACAGACCAGTGATTCAAGACTTGCAGTGTGCTTTTTGTCAACCAACCTGTATCTAACTCAAAAAACAATATTATTAGTGGTAAGGGAATCTCATTTGAGTCCCACATTACCTCTGGGTTGAAATAACTTCATTTTTCAGCTTTTGAACATCAATGGAACAACTTCTATGGCTCATGACACAAATATAATTAACACATTATAGTACATATTAAATCGACTTTCCTGTTCCTACAAAATTTGTGCAAAGCCACAACTGTTTATGGAAAAGTCTCAAGTAAAGTTTTTTTCTCCATCTTTCTGAAACTTGATCTATTTTTTGGGTTGTATTTCATGCTGTATGATCCAGTCCACATCTTGGCTGTGCAAGATTCAGTCCTCACCAGCTAAACCAATGGGCGATTTTAATAGAAGGTAATATATGTAGTTCAGGGTTGAACCGTGGAGTCTTTGGTGCTCTTTGAGCTTGGTTGTTGTTGTTGTTGTTAGGGTTGTCTTCCAGGCCCAAAAACACTACGCAAATACCTAGAGCTAGCAAATTCCTTTTGATGGGCATCGCCCACATGCCTGTTTATCTTCTTGTAATCCCTTTCTCTCCAATATTGCTGCTGTGCAAGATGTAAAAAACCATGTCAGACACAGGATAGTACTTATTAATTGATTGTTATGGTGAATATGTAACAGAGAGAGAGAGAGAGAGAGAGAGAGAGAGAGAGAGAGAGAGAGAGATATGCTGGTTGCAAAGTTATATTTTCAGCACCACTGTAACTTTGAATGGTTTATGCATGAGGCAGTTGGTAAGCAAGGTGTACTGGTACTCATTATTATATTTTTTGAACTGGAAGATAATTATCTGGAATGTTTTCCTTATAGTTGCTCAATTATTCCTGATTTTTCTTTTAGTGCATAAAAGCATAGCTATATTTATTATAGCATATAACTATTACAATGTGATTGTATCTGACCTATTAAAAACTTTGATCAACAGCAAAGATAAGCAAAGTACAAAGATATGTAAAGAAGTATTAATTTAACTTTTGTACCCAAAGTACAGTAAACACAACAATGACATACCTTGGTTACAGTTGATCATACCCAAATTTGAACAAAGTGCTGTTGCAAATATTGAGTAGAATGATACAATCAGAATATAACCACTCATGTTATTTGCTCTGTAGTAATTGCCACTATTTTCGTTTATGTTACTTTGCCTGGATAGTAACATATAGGTCAAGTCCAAACCACATAGTAATAAAATTATGTGAGGATAAAGTGGCATTATTTCATGTGTGAATAGCTGAGTTCATTGTTGGAAGAGAAAGGTGCAAATGAAATTAGCCATTTTCTAAATTTAATAAAAAAAAGTTCAGCAAAAAATTCAGCAATACAAATATAATTAAGAAAAACTTTTATTTAAAGTTTATGTAAAACCATTGAATAAAAAAGTATATATTTAGAAAGCTAAAAAGAACAAACTAAAAAGAAAAGTAAAAAGAAGCACTAAAATAATTTTATAAGAAAAATAATAAATTACAGTTTCAAATTTTACTACTATTCTGTGACACTAAAATAGAAGATCATATACAATATTAAACACAGTATTAATTATAGTATTAGCATACAAATAAAATAGAAGGATAAAATAGTGTGTAAGTATTTCAGTGTATATCTTCCATTCCCTTCCATTTTTTAATTGTACCTGGTACATTTTCTAACAATTTCAAAGATCCAAGTATAAAATCATCATTGAGTATTAGATACCCAAAGTAATAGTCATAATAACAAGTTGATTAAAAATCCTTAGTTTACTTCCTCTGAATTTATATTTCATTCTTTGTTTTGGGGGAGTGTGCTTCCAGTCAGGTTTTGACTTCTGGCAATTGATTGACTAGTCCAGTGGTGGCGAACCTATGGCACGCGTGCCAGAGGCGGCACTCAGAGCCCTGTCTGTGGGCATGCACACCATGCCATGGAGGTGGCAACTGTCCTTCTTCAACCAGCTGCCCGCTAACTCACCGAGGTCCCACATGGCTGGATGCATCCCAGCACCCATGTGCTCGCTGGCCTCTGTGTGCAGGGGCCAATGATGTCAGGCAGCAGCCGCCCCGGTCCCTACCTCACATTGCCCTGTGACAATGGCACCCCCACCCTGCCTTGCCTCACCCTGAGGACGAGCCTCCTGCCCACCGCACCACCTGCCAGAGACTCCCTGGATCTCCCGGAACCCTGCCCGGCCCCCATAGGCATCCCTCCCCATGAGCAACATCGAGGTGATCACGCCCACCTTGGCCACAGCCACCCAATTTGCCATGACCACCACAGCCATGCCCACCCAGTAGGCCACACCCTCCTGTCACCCTGCGATAAATAAGTGAGTTTTGGGTTGCAGTTTTGGCACTTGGTTTCTAAAAGGTTCACCATCACTGGACTAGTCCCTGTGGTGTATTTGATAAAGTTTTTCAGAAATGATTTGCCATTGCTACCTTCCTAGGTCACCCAGGCTAGCTTTGTGCATAAGGTTTCTGGTCTGATGCCTTAACTACCAACCCAAACTGATTCTTGCTTTAATCCTAGCTATGGAATATATTTGACACAGGAAATGTAGCATTTGCAGCATGTTCAAGGTTTGTAAATTTAAAAAGGTGCTGGTGTAGTATTCTTTTATGTCTGGATTATTTAGTAGTTTTGCAGATATGGGCAGAAGGATCCTCCATTTGGTGCATTAAACCTTTAGTTGTTTAGCAAACTGTGAATAAATACTATATAATTCTACTTGTTTTGACAACTCTATTTGTTACATGTTCAGGCTGATCGATTTGAATATTTCCTTGATGGTTCTTGGGACTGAAAGGCATCAGGATAGATAATTCTACAAAAGCTTTTGGAACAGGGAAATAGAGAAGAGTCTTAGGTATTAGCTCTTCATATTTATAGTCAAAAGCACCCTATTTTTCAAGGAATTGAAGCAATAAAATGAATGGGAGCTAGAGTGATACTGGTAGAACATACAAAGAGAATGACTTAATATACAATACTTTACACCAGTGCTGGTTGAATTGTAGCTCTCTTAAGACTTGAATGAAGAAGCCTCCAGAGCTCTGATGTCTAAATTGCAATGTTTTAACCTGACAGAAAGAAAAAATCATTAAATTCATGGAGAGCAATCACTTAAACTACATTTAAAGTAATTTTCATTTAATAAAATGTATATTGCGGTTAAATCTCATTTAACTTTTGTATTAGTCCTTTTCTTTTTTAAGAGTGCAGATAATATGCATGTTTAGTGAAAGAAGAAATGAGGCTAGTTTCTTTGCTACTTTCATGTGCCACCAGAAAACTATTATAGAGTTGGGTAAGTCCTTAGCTGCAGCCGCTGGGTTGGCTGTTCAGAGAAGTTATAATTAGTTGAATTTAGTCTGTTTTATGGGCGTCATTTTAATTGAATTTTTCTTGTGTGCTTAAATGTATTTGCTTTTGTTAGTCATTACCCTTTGTTGGAAAAGCAGAGTAGAAATTCAGTAAATTAGCAAATTAACCACCTGAGGGGTAACTTTGCTTTTTAAAAGCACAAATCACATTTTAAAAAATTCAACTTAATAGTTCTCTTCAGATCCCCATAATTAAGATTAAGCTAGATTATAATGTTTCTAAGAGTGTTGGAAAAACAGGCTAATTTGTTTCTTCTTTGGTTTCACTTTCAGATCCTGAATTCAAGGATCTTGGGGTTTTGAAACCATTGCCAGGTCGGTATGTTCAGTTTTCCATAGTACTTCAAAGCCTTGTATTTGATCTGATTTTCTTTTTGCTTGATCTTTATGTTTTGTTGTTATTCAGTTTGTGAGTTTCAAATGGGAGGATCTGAAGGAATTGTGGAATCGGTGCAGATCGGAAAAGAAGGGAAAGCTTCTGATTCTGAGGCTGTTGATTGTAAATGGTACATCCAAGCACCACCACGATCCAAGGTCAGTTCTGTTCCATTCTTTGATTTGGGGTAATAATTTAAGAAAGTGATTATATTAATACAGGATTTATTGCTTTCTACAAATGGGTTTTGTTTAATACGCAGTATCTATGGAACATGTGAACTTACATTCTTTGCTATGCAGAAAAAGTAATTATCAGTATAAATACTTTGAGCAGTATGGTAGATTTATAGCATATTTAGGCAATTTTTAGGTTTGAGGCCTTTCCTATGTATCAACTTATATTATAGTACATATATCATCATTTAATATTTTTGAGGACTCCAAAACTTTCAATTACTAATTCTGTAATATAAGTACCACTTTTCCAGAATTAAAGAACAGTGTTTTGACAGAAAAAGCAGATCCATACTGTCCAATTGCACTACCATCTTCTTCTCAACCCCAGTATGCTAAAATGCAACTTTCATTGTCTTCTGCAGACACTCCAATTTGTCAACATTTGTTTTAGTAGTGCCCAGAAGTGGATATGGTATTCAGATGGGTGCCTGATCTAGGTAGAGTAGATGGGACAATTAGTTCCCATGGTCTTCATTCTGTGCTCCTATTAATACATTGTAAAATTGCATGTCTTTTTTACTAGCTGTATTATGCTGTTGGTTCACATTCAACCTGTGATGTACTTACACACCCAGAATCTTTTCACATGTACAGCCAGGTTTTCCCATATTTATTTCATATTTTTACCTAGATGTGAAACTTCATATTTCTCCCTATTAAGTATATTTTGTTCATTTTCCTTGTTCAAGTCTATTTTTGAATCCATTTTTTTTAAATATGGGTCCATTCTCTTAATTCTGTGCCCTCTTCAGATGTGATGATCATCACCATCTCATTAATAAAAATGTTGAACAACACAGAACTCAGTTTAGTACCTTTGACACTCCAGTCAGTACTATTATCTAATTTGATATAGAGCCATTTAAGAGTACTCTCTGGACCATCTTTCAGTCATTTATAAATGTCTATAGTTGTATCATTATCATTTTATTAATGAAGACATCATAAGAAACTTGGTGCCATCTGCAATGATGAGTTCCCATCTATCCCCTCGTCCAAATCGTTGATGAACATGAATATGAATATGAGAGGAAGCCATCCAGAGATTTTCGTTCACATTTCCACTTTTAATGCTGCTGCTCCAAACATGGAATGGCAGAGGAAGGAAAGAATGCCAATTGGTCTTCTCCCATTCCTTGAAAATAGATAAATTTAATAAATAAATAAACTTGCTTAACATACCTGCTGCACTTTCCAACACTATGTCATGCCAAGAGCACCATAGAGGTTATATAAAATCTATTGCTCATGCCCGGAAATTACAACAGCACCATAATATGTAAGAAAGGTGGGCAGGTTATCCAGACCAGGAACAAATCTTTATAAGCATATAAACCTCTCTTCACTTAGAAACAAATACACCATTTTTCCTTCTTAACTGTGGGGTTTTGTTTTTGTCAAATTTTAAAGTCTTTAATATATTTGATGGGAAATTTATTACTTTTCCAATAGATATGCTTTTGCTAGCTTCAGTGTGATTTTTTTGGCTACAGATGAAAGGGCAAAACTGGTGAACTTTGCTTGAATGTAGACAGGCTCTTATTATGGTTTTCTGACTTGCCCAATCAATCTTGTCAAAGCAAATGTACAGTAATTGATGAAACAGAATTTATCAAAAATGATTCATTATAATAGAGTTTTACTGAAGTTATATGTTATTCAGAATTTGGGATAATTAATTTTCTCTTAATATATGTGGTCAGGGGTTATTGTATTCAAATTAAAATTAAAAAAACCTTTTCCAGTTCAATCGGCATTGCTTTTTTATCATTTTAAAAAAATACCAACCTTAAAAGTGACAAGACAGTAATTTAAATCTGTAATGCAGTCAGGGGCTATTAATTACATATGTCATGGCTGCAGTGAGGTTATTGTATTCTTTTTGGTAACAGCTCTGCCATTTTGTAGTGACATTCCAAAACTGAAACACCTCTGAAATTCTGTCCTTTGTTTTGGTCAAAATTACAATAAGATCAAATGGTTCGTGGATTTTTCTGAAATTTTAAAACAAAATGTAGAACAGTGTGTATTTTTTCCTTCAATCACATAACAGTGTCTCATAAGAAAGTATTTATAATGCAGGACATACAAGTGTAGGTTTCTAAAATAAAAACTGCCATCTTGCTCCATTTGAAATAATATCAAATAAACAAAAATGCTTGCTGGATTCATTTATTTATTTGATGTAAGGCCAGAGATTTTTGTGGCTTACATTATATATTATATTTAAAAAAATAGAAATCATGTGTGTCCAGACATAATACACTCCATGTACTGGGTAGGGTACACCCAACAGCAGGGGTAGCCAACTGTGGCCATTTTACAATCTGTGAACTTGAACTCCCAGAATTCCTGAGTCAACACAGGGAGTTGAAGTCCATTGGTCATACAGTTGCCTACCTCTGCCCAATAGGGATCTAGCAGGTACTCAATTCCAGGACCTGGGAGTAGAACCAGTTTTTTTTTTAAAAAACTTCTGGAATATTATTAGTGTGGAAATAAATAGGAATAAGTAAAGCATTTTTGTAATGAAGACATGATAGCTCAAATTTCATCATTGAAAATAGTAGTGTATAATTGGATAAAACATTTACCTATACAGTTTTTGCATCTTAACTAATATGTATAGGTAGGTCTCTTTCAATTCCTCTAATGGAATAACTATATTTAGTTATTTTTGATAGGCATACGAGGTTTGCACCCGTGCTATATTACAGTGAAAAATTAGAAAACTATCCTTGTAAAATGCTAGCAATTGTTAGTGATTTAAAAAGGAAGATTGGGATCTCAGAATTGTACATTTTCAGTGGGAACTTTTTTTAAATACAGCGGTGGAAGAAAAGAGTTTTCATTGTGATGCTACCAACTCTGTTTTTAATGCAACAGTTTAGTGATTACTATTATTATACTTATAATGTTAATCTTAAGTAATATTATTATTTATTATATTTATCTTGGACTAATATAAAAGACTTGGGGATGCATTATTTTATTATAACAAATGGTTTGGCTAGTCTCTCCTTAAGCAAATGCAAGAAAAAAATTATAAGGAATTATAAACAATGATAAATTCTACAAGAGAATGAAACATCTAATACTCCAGGCAGATAAACCTTTATTTATTTACAAAGGAATCGTATCATGCCAAAATCAGGGTAAGTGATTTTTGAGGACCATTGGGCACATTTGAAATGCTAAAGTTATTTTATGGACCCATTGTTGAAATAAATGGGAGCAAGGGATGACAACATCTGGCTTACCTTGTTTGGGCCTGGTATTTATGTAGGTATAGTCTGCTGTAGAGTTTGAGCAGGAGAATTCTGTGGAATACCAGAACTGCAGGCTGCAGTTGAAAGTTGAAAGTTGGAGTGCATCCCAGAAAAAGGGATTGGTGAAGAAAAGAATCCCTTAGAATTCAGACTTTACTCTTTATTAACTCAAACATTTACCATTTATGAGGCAAAGGATTAAGTTAAAATCTATAATTAATAAAATACACAGAACCTTAATTAAATTCATTTCCTCTGTCTATAAAATATGATTTTCATTCATACAAAAATAATGGCAACAAATAGATTTATTGCACACAGACTTTGCAAAATTGATGTATCTCTAATCCTTATCTGTAAAATAATTGATGTTTTCTACCTTAAAAAAAAAAAGACTTTAAAAGCAGATTTTCCCCCATGTGCTCTTTTCTATGCTGGTATTGTTTCCAAATGGTACAGAAATATGTGGCTGCTTCAGTGATGGAGCCTAAAAAAAGAGTATCAGATATCAGTTTATTCTTTCTTCACCATTGATTTAGTGCTTAAGCACCAGGCTAAAAAGCAGGAGACTATGAGTTCAAGTCCCACTTTAGCCATGAAAGCCGACTGGATGATCTTGGGCCAGTCTCTTTCCCTCTCTGTCTCAGCCCCCATCTCACAGAGATGATGTTGTGTGGACGAAAGGAGGAGGAAGGATATGTTTGCAGTCTTGAGTTATTTCCAAAACAATAAAGGCAGGATACAAACAAACAAAATAAAAATAAAAATATGTTGTATGCACACACATACAAATGTTCGGTTTCACTTCAGTTGGTGGCAAAAACATGCAGTCTTAGTCTCTTTTCTCTAGCTAACCTGTGGAAGGAAAACCATACTCTACATTTCTTGTCCAATAGGAAAATGTTCTTTACCAGTTCTCTAAGTTTCTGGAACTTGATCATAATGCAGGTAAACAAAGAACCACAACCTAAATCTTGCTTTTTTCTTATTTAAAAATATAACTGAGATGAAACACAAATATTATTTTTTAAAGCTGACTTATTGGCAGAGAAACAATAACAGTAAAAGAAGTTTCTGCTTCCCTGTTGTATAGGATATAGCAACAATTGCTTTAAAGCTAATAATTATTTGACTGGAAAGATAAAGACCCCCACTACACACCATTAGTATTTGAGTAAAATCAGGTTAAAACTCCCTAAAGTCCTCTTCTCTATTTGTAAGCGATAAACGATCTCTATCTAAGGAATCAGAAAATAAAATCAAGACTGAAAAAAATTCTTAAGAACCCACTAAAGTACTCCAGTGAAAAAGTATTGCTATTTAAAGCATCCCATTCAGGTCTCTAAAAGAGAAGTATATACTTCTACAGGCTTCAGCAAAATAAGAGGAACCAATAGAGCAGGCATGTCGAACTCACAACGTCACGTGACGTCGCGCGATGTATTGGAGCTTTTTTGCCATTGCTGGCAATGGGGTGGGTGCAGCTCTGGTATGATGAAACCGGCCCACGGGCCGGCAGTTTGACACTTCTGCAATAGAGGAAGGATTGGATTTTTAAAGATAGTCATTCAGACTGAATTCCTTTAGCAAGCTGTTTTATATCACATGCATTATTAGATCAACCATTATTTAACACCAATCCCATTTATAGACCAAACCATTGCTTTTAGGTGTCTTTCCAGAAACTAGTACTTTAGATTTGGATAATTAATCTTCATCTCATTATAAGTGCTAAAATAGCCAAATTTAAAGCTGATCAACTCAGAAGTGAAGAGACATAGTTTCTTAAGATGACAAGATGACCTTTCAAGATCAGGTAGGGTTTTTTTAAATCATATGATCTTATTCTAATTTATTTTTTAAATTTCTATGTCAGTTTCTCAGAGCGGTTTTTCACCATGTATGACTTTAAAACATAAAGAAGACATACTTGATGTGAAGTTAATTAGTTACATGATAAATCAATTAATTGGCTTAGATATTTTCTATTTCCTTTTTTAATTCTGTAAGTTTTTGAACCTTGCTAAATGTTGTTATGGCTGTTGTAATTATGACAGGTAACTAGTTGCCATGAATATAATGAGTTTGTTGCGGATGTATAATAGAGTTATGAAATGTCGTAAGTGATTTAGATTACTTTGTAAAATAGTATATGTATTAGGAAATAATTCAGGAGAATGAAATTACTAGAAATGCCACAATATTAGAGTTAGTTGTATTTGATTAGTCATGTGTGAGATTCACAATAAAAGTCTGCATTTACTGTAATGTAATCTACAGGGCATCTAGCATAAGCTTAATGGGATGATCAAAGGCATGCCTCTTTTTATATGTCTGTGTCTGTCTGTCTGCCTGCTATCTGTCTGTCAAGTTTGAATATGGAACATCATGTTCTCTCTACATCTTTCTGCTTTTTTTTTTTTTTTTGGTGAGAAGAAGGACTTATCTATTAGCAAGTACCGAATTCAGCCAGCAGATAATTGTTTTGACCACTTGAAGAAAATTTCAGTCTTGCTATACTAATTCTTAGTTCAAGAAGACTGAACTAAAATAAATTTTGATGCTATTTCTTAACTGATTAGAAAAGAAACTTACAGCACTTCTGCTCACCTAAAACTGTTGATGATCTAGCAAATTATACTGTTTTGTTTTGATGAAGTTGCTATTTGTTTTAGGACAAATTGGCTTGAGAAGAACATTCATTTCAAATATCTGTGGATCATTTTTCATTATTTTGAGCCAAAAATAAGACTGAGTATGTGGCCCATAGCATCAATATAGTGTTGCGGCAATGCTGAGTTCCTTTTCAATTAGAAATGCAGTGTTTCCTTGCAGATTTAAGGTTTTTTGAAGCTAAAGACCTTGCTTAATTGTTGGACCCAATGTTTATAAAGTACGATAAATTAGTTCTGAAAATGGTCCAATAGAAATATGAAGATCTATTTTCCAAATTCAATGCATACCAAATGCTATTAGATGTCTTGAACCTGGACGCATAAAGGCTGTGGCAAGAATTTGGATTGATATGCCTGATTTGTTATTTAAAAAAGCAGAAACATTTATTTCTGTAGCAGTAGAGCAACTACTGATTTCTAGAAAGAATTAGATACTTGTGTATGAAATTTTGATATTTACAATATAGTGTAAAAGGAAAAAAATATTTTCCTTGCAACATCATCTTTCTGTTTCTTCAGTTTTTCCTTTGGAATATACCTCCCTTGCTCCTGTCCCATTAGTTTCTATATTTCTTTGTCTTCCTATCATCCTAAACATTTCTGAGTTTAATCAAGAAGATGAGCAAAATAAGATAGCTCTTTGTTCTTTTTTGTGTTTTTTCAGAATGTTAGAAACTATTTGTCATTATTGTACTTATAAAGAAATTAAATGAGTGAGCAGTAAAAGACATTTATTTTCAATGGAAGAATGTTTCATTTCCCAAACTTCAGAAACTTAATTATTGTTTATTAGTTGTCCTTTGGATACAAGGGTTTCACTAAATTATTATGGACTGATTATTTTAATTGATGATCCTACCTTAGGTTTCATTAGGCATTGATTGATTCTGCTATGCATTGCTCTGGGCCATTAAAGTTTAAAGTGCAGAGAGAGATAACCTCTGTATAGGAATTTTGATATTTCACAATTAAATTACAGAAAAGTTAATAAATTCTATTATTTTAAAATAAGCAGGTAATGTTCTCACTACTTAAAGAAATAAGAGAAGAATGTCAAAGCCTTTTTCCTCTTAAATATTCCTGGATTTTAAAACAACTAATCTATTAGTTTTGAGACAACAGAAAAAAAAGGACAAACGGGAGAAAAGAAGACAAAATATTTCTTACATTTTTTCCCTTTTCTGTAAATAATGTAATGTGATGAAACTATATGAAGAAGCATATTCATTTTCTATTCTGTTCTGAGTAATATAAAGATGTTTGGTTATTGTATTGTACATACATAGACTTGATCATTATGAGTTTGTGATAAGCGTACATGAGAAAATTCTTCCAAGGAAAAATAAATTGTTAGAAAAAAGGTTCTCAGTTCCATTCATGATCCTGTCTTCTTCCTGTATGCTACCATTCAGTAACATAAGTATGATCATTGTTCACTGTTTGCTGTAGATAATTTGAAAAGCAAAAAATGATATGGAAACGAAAGTATTGGTCTGTGCTGTCATGTTCACTGTTCTCTTTTTTATAGATATACTTACGATTCTTGGACTATGAAATGCAGAATTCTAATGAATGCAAAAGGAACTTTGTGGCTGTCTATGATGGAAGTAGCTCAGTGGAGGATTTAAAAGCAAAGTTTTGCAGTACTGTTGCTAATGATGTGATGCTGCGCACAGGTCTTGGAGTAATCCGCATGTGGGCAGATGAAGGCAGTCGAAACAGCCGATTCCAGATGCTCTTCACATCTTTCAAAGAACGTAAGATACTTAATCAGAATTCCATTGTTATGTACTATTTAATGGTGTTTTCCTTCAAACCAAGTAAATATGATGATACTGTATGTGATAACCAAGTAGGATATTTTCTGCCAAGTCTCTGTAGGTGCCCTATCTATATATAAAGGGAACCCCAGGTGGTACATAGCGACTTTGATTTCCTTGCTTGTCAGAAATATGTATGAGGATTAAAATATCAATGCTTACAAAGAATGAGAAATCTTTTTCAAATATACAGACATTACAAGAGTGAGTTGTTTAATATCTTAGAAAAGAGAAACAAAATTCAAAATTATTGTGGTGATTTAGAGAACTATGTCAAAAATAGAAAAATGAAGTAGAACAAAGACATGAGCAAAGCTTTCAATTAGGTAACAGCCTTGATAATAGTCCTTGCGCAAAAGTTTTTAACATAGTTCTGATTATTAAAGATGAGCCAGCAGTGTTATATGGCTGCATAAATAGTTTGATTTTATTGTACAGATGTCATAATACCTTACTTTGAATATCTAGTTTTAGATATAATTCAGTAAGAAAGATTCAGAAGAACTGGAATAGATTTAAAGAGGGATGTCAGGCTAGAAACTATAAATCATAGAATAAAATTGTGGATTCTCCCTGTGATAGCCAATTTCTGGAGGATCTTCAGAAAAGCCAGAATATAGGGCATTGGTGGCAAACCTATGGCACGGGTACCAGAGGCGGCACTCAGAGCCCTCTCTGTGGGTACGCACACCGTCACCCCAGTCCTAGGCCTTCAGCTGGGTTTTATAAAAACCCACTTTAGAACTCCACCATGTACAAAAAAAAAAAGGTTTAATCAATCAGTCGATTTCAACTTCTCGTGGGGAAAAAAAAGATCTTGCAAAGGTGGAATTTATTGAACTTTTTAGTCCCATTCAGTCTGCCATTACCACTGCAGCCGCACCCAGCCAATGGGCCACACCCACCTGGCACCCAACGATGCATAAGTGGGTTTTGGGTTGCAGTTTGGGCACTCGGTCTCTAAAAGGTTCGCCATCACTGATATAGGGTTAGGGTTATGAAAAGGGTTATGAAAAAAAAGTGAAGAAGTTTGGAATGCTTAGTCTTCAAAACAAGAAGACCAAAGGGTGATGTTATAGTACTCTTAAAATAACAGAGAAGTTATTTCATTGAAAATCAAATTTATTTTCTAGTCTTCAAGGCACAGATAAATAGATTTAAGCTCTAGAAAGACAGATTCCATTTTGTTTAAAAAGCCCTTAGTAACAGCAGTTATTATGAAACTGGGACCAGTGTTGTTATTGAAAAAGGATGTAGGATCTCCTTCCGTTGATAGGTTAAGCAGAAGCAGAATGACTGTTTATCATGGATAATTGAAATTGGATTTCTTTATTGAGCAATGGCTAAGACTCAGTGGTCTTTACTGAGCAATGGGTAAGACTCTCTAATCCTACTCATACAATCTTGAGAAAGCTGTTTTCTATTGTGTATTGAATTGCATATATCAATCCCCACACTTGATGTCTACAATTTAATTAAATGCACTTAAGTCTAGGCAATCAAACTTATTTAAATGTCAGTACCAAATAACTAAAAATAACCAATATCCACATGGTAAGATTTATTAATATAATTGTATATACATTGAATAAACTTGATTTATAGGAGACAAATAGTCAGGAAGAATTCCTTTCTGTAGTATTGATTGTCAAAGACTGGAAGAAAACAATTGTTTAACAGAAAATGATTTATCAAGTGAAATTAAATATATGGTTTAAATTTCCCCATCCCTTTTTTTAATGCAAATCTGTATTTAAAAATCTACTTATCCAACTGAGTGTATCTTACAGAATGGAAAGGGGTAAATGTTTTTCTGGAAGAGACTGATAAAAAGAAAGTGAAGAATCAGCAGTTAGGAATGTGCCAGGAAAGCTCCCTATTTCTGGGGCAAAAAAAACACCAATTATTTGACATACTATCTTCTGATACAGCAGAGGCCATTCAAAGCAGCACTTTGAAAATGTATGGAAAAAAGTTCTCTGAGTAATTTGGGTTGGGTTAAGAAAATTCTGATGCATTCTGAGTAGTATTAGTTTATATGATACAGCTTAAAATGATAATTTACAGTTCCCAGGTTCATAAATCAAGCTGACTCTAGTGATAATCTCTGCATAATTCTGATGCCGTTCCTAAGTATTTTTTCTATGATTAAAACATTCTTTAATATTCAGTTTTATTTATTCAAATCAAAGTCATTGTTACCTTAGAGACAACTGTGAAAGCATTGGGGATTCAGTATTTTGTAGAAGTATATTGCAAAAAAGTGACACCATTCTTTAAAACTATATTGTCCAAGTGATTGGGATTATTTTTCAGCTACATTATAGACTGTATAACAACTAATGCTAGGAAGATTTCTTACCAAAAGAGCTGCCAGATTTATTTTTGTGATCTCTGTTCAGGGAATCTAAGATCTTTCTGAGGTACTTTGGTAGATGCTTACCAAGCCAAATTTTGGAGTTTAAAATATATAAGATATTCATTTATTCAGCAACCTTGAAGAATAGTTTAAATTCTACAACAGGTTTAACTATGCTGTGAGTTGCTTATCTATTCCACATTAGTTGGATTAAACATGGTAGATAAAAATAGTAATGATATATAATGCATAGTGACAAATTAAACTACTTAACAAAAAATGTGGTAATAATTACAATGGTTAAAGATAGGGTGGGATTTTCTACTTCCCAAACTATAGAACATTCTGAAGAATATTGTATCACCAAAGAATTTACAGTTTGTTGGTCTAAGCAAACATAAAATTAAATGAAAATACAACAGGAGAGACAGATGGCATTTCACTGTGCTGTACATCATTTTCATAAATCACTGCATTTAGTAAGTTCATTTTTCTAGAAAAGAAGGAACTATATTATGACAGGATGGCAAGGAAAGCTGTTTCTATTGTTATTTTAAAATAGCTGGCAACTTGCCTTTATCCTACTAATTTTAACACAATGTGTGAATATTAATGTAAGTAATTTGAAGAACTGATTACTGAGAGTTAAGAATTGGGAAGTCCAAAACTTTGATATGAAAGCATTGGGAGATGTCATACGAAGAGGAAAGATGGAAACATGACTGTAACGAGCACTTAAAATTTCAGATTTCAGAGTGTAGACAAATTTTGAATTTTTTTTTCTGGGCTATTATTGTTGTTTGGTCACTAAGTCATGTGCAACTTTTTGTGACCCCATGGACCATAGCACACCAGGCCCCACAGACCTACAGAAGGCTTTATGTACATTGGCCCAACAGAAGCAAAATGGAGGTAATGTGAAGTGTGTATGTGTAAGCAACTGCAATGTATAGGAATGGAGCCAGGACATTGGTTCAGCTATGGGCTGCACTTTTTAAATATTACTTTTAATTTGAAGAGACCATGGAGTTCAATGATGAAACCAAAGAGACAGTGTTGGAATCTTGTGCCCATGTTTTTCATCAGAAGATAGTATTGAACTGTGAAGTTTAATGCGAAAAAATAGTATTTTGACACTAGAATCTAGTGTTAAAAAGCAAAAATAGTTTACAAGTGAAGTAGGATGAAGGATCTGTTAGTTAAAGGTTTCTACCTATACAGTTTTTGGTCAGCTAAGCCACAGTACACACAAAGAAGTTGTATTACTGTATATAATAATAGACATTCAATCAATTTTTCATAGATTAGTTATGAAACTGAAAATTGTCCTTATTACTGTATCAACACAGACTTTCCAAAAATCCAATGACATGGTCTAAATAGTCCTATTAAAAAAAATGAAAGAGCTCAATTGATTCCTGCTCAGTTGCCGTGAGCTACCAAAAAGACTTTCAACCCTGACGATGCTGACAAAATGTCAGGTACCAAATTAAATCATGGCCTGTTAGCCTTGATGCTCCTCATCACTAGATGTCACTATTAGTTTGATTAAAACAAAATTAATTTTGTTCTATTTTGAAAGAAAGTATTTTATTATTTATATATTGCCTTGATCACTTGATAAATATAGTATCTAATACTCCTTTCTCCTCCTATTTTCCCTACACCAACCTTATAAGGTAAGTTAGACTGAGAGAAAATGACGAGCCCAAAGGCCTAAAATGGGACTAGAACTCACAGTCTCTTGGTTTCTAGCATGGTGCCTTAGCCACTACACCAAACTGCTATAATGAATTAACAAAATTCCACATCACTAAAATTTTCACAAATTATCTAATATTTTTTTTTTACTACAACTAAGAAATGATGTACATCTGTGTATCCAGCAGCACCTGCACTGTGGGAAAGAGGAGGGGCAGAATGATGAAAGTAAGGTCATATCACAATGAAAGTCCTCCCTCTTTCAGATATGCATCATGATATTGCATTTATTTATTTAGTTACAGGTAATCCTCGACTTAAAATCATTTGTTTAATGACCACTTGAAATTACAATGGGACTGAAAAATGTGACTTATGATAGTTTTTCACATTTACAATCATTGCAACATCTCCATGGTCACATGATCAAAATTCTAATGCTTGGCAACTGGCATGTATTTATGACAGTTGCAGTGTCCAAAGTCACCTTTTGTGACTTTTTGACAAACATAGTCAATGGGGAAGCCAGATTCACCTAATACTCCTGTTACGAACTTAACAACTGCAGTGATTCACTTAACAACTGCAGTGATTCACTTAACAACTGTGACAAGAAAGGTCATATAATAGGGCAAAACTCACTTAACAATTGTCTGGCTCAGCAACAGAAATTTTGGTCAATGTGTCCATAAGTCAAAGATTATCTAGCAAGTGGCATCCATAATAATGTGCTTATTATTGTATAATGGTAATTTGTTGGCTCTGACCACAAGCAATTGGATTTGGCCTCTCTTGGAAATAATTGTGTTTCTTTGGAATCACCACCACCAGTATATTATGTGTAAGTAATCCTTGGTTAACAATGGTAATTTGGACT